TCATTAAAATTCATAAAACCGTTGTCATATTATAAAGAATGATATGTAGTTGGCTATAATTTATAGTTAGGAGGCACGGTGGAGTAATGAATAGCGGATCTAATTGAGGAATCGGAGAGCCGAGTTCGAATTCCAGTCGAGTCCATTGCATTCACTTACATGTTAATACCCTCTTCTTCTTCCTCAGCTATGTGTAAATAGTAGGACAGACAGAGTTCTATAAAAGTAGTCTAACGCAGAAAGTAATGGCAACCTACTGCGGGAAAAAATCTGCCTCGTCAGTCATGTAACGAAAGATACATGATCGCCTATGCGTGTATCACGCATGGCACATAAATGACTGATTATGTAAAATATTCTGCACATTAATAACGCAAATGTTTCTCTGAATACTTTCATTAATTCTCTAACATCTAGGAAAATTAAAAGTGGCTAATAATATGAGTTGAAGTTTAGATTAAATTGTAAAGCAGAAATAAACTTATCTAATATGTTTTTTCGAGCCACAGAAAAAATACGTCTCCTGCGACAAGTATATTAATAGAAAACTACGTTGATATGTTTCGGATTAACGTTTTTAGAGTCACATTAGCGAGAAGGACGTATTTGACAGGGTTACAGTTAGGATCAAACACATTAATAAAATGCCGTCACAAGTTTAGGGAAAGCTGTTACTTCTCAAATATTCCCAAATATCTCCCTCAGAACATTCTGGCCATTTTTCTGAATCGTCTTTGTGTGTAGATGTGAATGAGGGAATAAGATATTTTAGCAGTAGTGTGAGGAAGAACCCCAATTGTATCATTGATTAGGAATCCGCTTGTACCTCAGTGCAAAAATTTGTCAGACGAAGCCAAGTTCGGCACCCGGTAACTTTTACGAATTAACCGGAGAGCTAGCTAGCTCAACATTGTAAGTCGATTTCGATTATCTGGGCACCATGAAGAGAGGTTTCACATCATCGATATGGTAGCATATAATAGCCTTTTAGGTAAGAGATCACTTTCCGGTGTGACAGAAGTTGTTGCCTGAACATGAAACATGAACTTTGGAGATTTCGATCCCGATATACAACATCTTTTCCGAAAATTGGGAAAATACAATAAAAAGAGATAGATCTTGTCGGTTGAATAGAATCAGACTCGTTTGGATGAATACTTGCTGCCTAAATATACCACACACACACACACACACACGCATATATATATATATATATATATATATATATATATATATATATATATATATATATGCATACAAGGTTATATTTTGGCATGCAAAATAAGAATCGAATTCAATTTCAATAGCTTTTTGAATACTGCCATGATTTCTCCAGTACTAAAACAAAAATGTTTTTATTTCTTGTTATTTTATTTTTCAAATTCCGGCTTGATTGAAAGCAAATTTTCTTTCAGGCTTACCCTCCATCCCCATTGGCCGGGGGTGCTGAATCTTGAAATCGCTGGACACCCACGAAGAAAGACGTTGACTTGTGCTCTAAACAGATTTGTCGTACGTGGTAAAGGCAATATATCTTGGCTGCTGACACATTAACCAACTGTACTTTCAGACTGACTGTTCTGGCCCGGTGCTTGCTGCAATGTAAACGGATAAACACACGAGTTCTATAATCTGAAATCTATTCCTTACACCAACAACGCTTCCACTACCCAGCCCTCTGCACCCTTGCGCATACAAGCCTCTGTGTGTGTGTGTGTGTGTGTGTGTGTATGCGTGCGCATGTGTGTGTGTATGTGTTCCCCTCATACTCGTATAAATATACAACCATTTATACTTTTTTCTACTTTATGCTTCCTTCTTACTTGGTTGCTCTCCTTTTTAGTTTTCCTTTCATTTCTTACCTTTTCTTCCTCTTCTTTTATTTTGTTTTCTTTTTCACTGTCTATGGTGCCTATGCCTGAAGTTCGATCTTCACTGGGTAAAATTGTGGTCTTGTACCAAGACTTACTTTCTTTCTTTCTTTCTTTCTTTCTTTCTTTCTTTCTTTCTTTCTTTCTTTCTTTCTTTCTTTCTTTCTTTCTTTCTTTCTTTCTTTCTTTCTTTCTTTCTTTCTTTTCTTTCTTTTTTTCTTTCTTTCTTTCTTTCTTTCTTTCTTTCTTTCTTTCTTTCTTTCTTTCTTTCTTTCTTTCTTTCTTTCTTTCTTTCTTTCTTTCTTTCTTTCTTTCTTTCTTTCTTTCTTTCTTTCTTTCTTTCTTTCTTTCTTTCTTTCTTTCTTTCTTTTTCTTTCTTTTTCTTTCTTTCTTTCTTTCTTTCTTTTTTCTTTCTTTCTTTCTTTCTTTCTTTCTTTCTTTCTTTCTTTCTTTCTTTCTTTCTTTCTTTCTTTCTTTCTTTCTTTCTTTCTTTCTTTCTTTCTTTCTTTCTTTCTTTCTTTCTTTCTTTCTTTCTTTCTTTCTTTCTTTCTTTCTTTCTTTCTTTCTTTTCTTTCTTTCTTTCTTTCTTTTTCTTTCTTTCTTTCTTTCTTTTTCTTTCTTTCTTTCTTTCTTTCTTTCTTTCTTTCTTTCTTTCTTTCTTTCTTTCTTTCTTTCTTTCTTTCTTTCTTTCTTTCTTTCTTTCAGATGTCACGCTTTGCGATAGCTTTCTGAACTCAATCGTGCCAGAGACTAATGCATGAATACACGCTGATGCATTTGTAATCCGCCGGAAGTGACCTGTCCAGGTTTGATGCGTGATGTAATTAAACAAGATTGCGCCACACACGATCGCCTATCGCTGCGTGATATGCTTATCGACACTCATCTCCAAATGATTTACATTCACAACAACAGCTCAAGGCTGAACTTGTTTCTGAAACAAACTCACATTAATAGGCAACTGTTGACAGCGGCATGATACACGAGATTCCCTTTCGCTGTAAAGTAGTCCGATCCCCAGTCTGGTCAGTTAACGCCTTTTACTAACACATTTCTCCGCCCTGCATTTTGAAATATTGCATTAGAAAAACAAGAGAGGAAATATATATATATATATATATATATATATATATATATATATATATATATATATATATATATGCAGATTCATGGCTATGCCAAGGTATGTATGATATATCCTCCAGGTGATTGCAAACGGACTGCAATCAGTTCGTTTGTATTTGGGTGGTCGGACAATCACCAACTGCCACTTTTAAAACATATGACAGTACCTGCAATTTTTAATTAAACTTTATATATCAAATCGGGTAGGCAAATTGTTTGACTGTGAATGATGCCAGTCCATTCATCAAAAGGCCCTTTGTGTTGGACACTTTTTAAATGAAATGGCTGAAGAAGGTAATTCTAAAAAAATAAAAAATAAAAAAAAGAATTACCCTAGATAATCACTATAAGATTAATTCCTAACCCGTCCCGTGCTTTTCAGAACATTCCACTCAAACTCTGCGGGTTCATATACAAGAGACCACCCAAAGTTTCGGATTATTCAAAGAGATTGATCAATTTGTCCATCTGTCAAGTTAAACAACGTTTTCACGGGTTTCAAAGGATATTTCGCACCTCTCCTTAAATCACTTCATCAGGACTAATGAGGCTGTTTTTACTATTGATTTCCCTTTCTCAAAGGAAGACGATATTCCATCCCTTAAGTTTTTTCAATTTTTGGTACCAGTTCACATCATTACAAATCGTTACCGGTAAAGATGCTGGAAAATGGTCGTTTCCTTGTACCGCTCCAAAAAGTAACTGACTGAAATTATTGGCATGATTTTTTTTCTTTTAGTATATGGATAATAAAATTTTAAATATTATTGCCAGTGAGTTTTCCTTTCAGCTACAGACTAAGAGTTAGGCAGATATATACACCGGAATAACTTTCTATTGTGTATATTTAACAACTTACATCAAAATAAAAAAAAAAATGGTAAGTCCAAATTTAAAAGAAAATTACGAACAAGAAAATTATAATTTTTTTTGTGTAGAAATGATGAATTAATAATAAATATTAGTATTTATTTATATGCAGAAGAATAGTTTTTGGTGATTTCAATCGTACTATAATTATTCACACCGTAATGTACATAAGTTTTGTGGAAATTTGGACTTGGTAAGAAAAATTGTCGGTCAGAGCAGAAGGTAACTGTAATGAACAACGAAAGAAAATTGGAGTGCTGCTTACTGAAGCTACAATATGGCTGCTGTGTAGTCACCTTTTACTTTTTTCATAAGTGTAGAAGAGTTATAATAGAAAGAGGAGCTAACTCAAACAGATTTTTATCACTACAGTAACCTTGTAAGAACTTTTGAAAATAACCCAAACATTACGACTAAGAATATCAGGGATAGTTTTGAATCCGTTGGAAAGAAAGCAGCAAGATGTATGCATTTAAGTGGTACATTCATTTCCAATTTATAGCCCCCCCCCAAAAAAAAACAATGTATAAAATCTGCCCCGTGCTATTTTTAGACGACTGTATAGAACCTTAGACAAGCAACAAAATACTTAAAGTCTAAATCGGTCATTCGTCAAAATCTGTGTTTCCTCCAAATTTTCTAGCTGCTGCCCCCTCTCCGCTTGGCTTTCAAGTCACATGTCTAGCATCACCGTTAAGTGAAAACTTTTCTTTCTTGTTATTAGGTATAGTGCAAACTTAAAACGATCTCCTTGGCTATACCGATACACCTAGAAACATTGGCTCTCTGCAGATGTTGGTCCTCTGCAGATGTTGGCCCTCTGCTCTGGCTGACGTGTGGCGTGTCTTGCTCAGATGATGTAAAAATACAAACAGACATTAAAATTTTTAACTTCGGACAGAAAATAAAATAAAACCATGGGTGCGTGTATAACATTTATGTTTAATCTTATTCTTTATAAAGCATCTTGTAATGGTAATATTATTTGTTTCCTTATAAGGAAACATTCTGTATCTATTGAGCGAGCAGCCAGTGTCACTTTCAGTTGAAATTTATCAAATTTTTCTCTTAAAACAATTATTTCAGAAAAACAAGTTTCTCAAGATCAGTAGCTGTTTCCAGTATTGATGGGTCTATGGTCAAATCACTCTGAAAATACCGATTCGCGTTCGATCACCAAAGTTAAGCAATGTCGAACACGGTTAGTATTTAGATGGGGGACCGGTTGGAACACCTGGTACTGTAAGCCACATCCTACAATCTGAAATATAGTTCTACTTTAAATAACCTATAAACGGTTGATAAGCCGTAAAAAAGACAAATCAATCAGCTTCCACAATATTTCAAACAAAAGATTAGGAAGAAAGCCCATATCAATACTGAAAAGAGCAATAACTGTCATTCGACTTGAGAAATCTATTTTCCTGAAAAATGTTTTAACAGAAAGATTTTAGAAATTTAACTGAAAATAGCATTGGCTGTTCGGCCAATGAAGGCTGAATGTTTCCTTATGAGGAAACGCATAATATTGCCATTACCTTTAGAGATGGGGATAACAGATAGTACACTTTGATCCTTGTCCGATCGGCAGGCAGTGAGGAAAAGCGTAAACTCGAGTAGCACTGGCTACTCGCTCAATGTATACCAAGTGTTTCCTTATAAGAAAACGGCTAATATTACCATTACAATTACAATACAACGAATGGAAAACAACTGGCAAAAAATGGTAAAGTGAACAAAATACAGAAGTCCGCACCACATGTTTTAACTGATGAACAACAGTTTCCCAGGTTTGGCACCGGCAGTAATTTACTTAATCGTTTTTGGGGAAAAAAATGACCGTTTTGTTATTTGCCTGTTTACTGTTGGTGAAAATTACTTTCTGTCTGATAGTGGCTTTCTTTCGGTTTGACAGATTTTTTTCTTCTTCCAACCTTCTCAAGCCCAAATCATCCTCCCTACCGTTTTCGTGTTGTTGTAATGAAGTAATTCGTTACAGCCTTCTGCAAACTGGTAGAGAACATTATTGCCTGTTATAATGTCGAATTAAGCCTTCAAAAGTTGAAAACATTATGACAAGCAGCAATGGAAAGAAAGTATCCTGTCTTGCTGCAGGATAACTACTCAGCAAAACATTGATACATTGATGTTCTATTCATTGGACCTGTCTCCCAAAGAATACCAGTTTCTCCAGATTTATATTCACCTAGTCAGTTGGAATCCAGTAGCATTAAGTTTTTTGCCAAGTAGTTTGTGAAATATGAAGTCTTGTATTATCACTCCTGCTGGTCAAAATACTTACAACTTTTGATGTATCAGTCCGAAATCATGACGACATGATTCTACTGTGACGGTCTAACCAGGAAGCAAATGGTTTACTTCATTAAAACATTAGCAAACAAGTAATCAATTTATTTTCATAATGGAATCACCATCGAACCATAATTGCATAAATTTTAATATTGCTTACAGATAAAGTTGTGTTTGGTTCAAGTTATAATACCTCTTTGAAGGGTTGTTGTTACTCGGAAATATCAGTTGTCCTGACGCAATTTCTGTATGGATTTCTGGGAAGATGAGTTATTATTTACATTATTTACATAAGGACTTTTATCATCAACTTTGTTGTTGTTATCACAACGTTTCAGTTTGCACTGATAAAAGCCGGAGGGTACAATGATGGAAACATCATGTTTGGTCAGGATAATTCATGCTTGAATTTCTGGGATGAGGAGCTATTATTTATATTATTTACATTCGGGCTTTTATCCTTATATTTGTTGTTATCATGACGTTTCGACCGCCTTCATCAGGTGCTTGTCGATCCGGGATAACTTTCGAGGAATTTCGAACTGAACCGTTTATTTAATCTACTGGGGTAAATTGTTCTCGTTTTGATTATGTCTAGGGATAGCTTGTCTTGCATTTTATTTTGTACTGCTTAGTTCTTTCTCAACCCTTTTTACTGAGTTCAAATACACACTGCCCGTCCTAGGGATTGAAGTCACAATAACTATGTCAATCATTGACTCTGACTCAATGAATTCAATTTAAAGTGACGGAGCAAGATTTTGTTGTATTTTTATATCGATTCCTACCTTAAAGTAAAATTTGTTATTTAAAAAAACCGATGAGGTCAGAAGAAATAAGCTGCATACTATTTCGTCACGTACAGTCGATATAAGCCTCCTAACAAGACTGTTCTGTGCTTAGATGAAAGGTTTAGGGACTCCAATGAAGTCATAAAGCGTATTAATAACTAAAGAACTGATTTAATGATAAGAAAACGTTCTCACTTTTATTTTTCATAAGCTGTCAACCAGGAAAAATATATAAATAAACAAGAGAATAAGTCAATGGTCGGGTGGTTGTGAGCAATGCTTCTTTAGTTGGGCTAGTTACGTACTTAATTCAACATTTAATAGTTTCGCACGGGTAAATATTCTGGGCTTTTCTTTCATTGGTTGTCACCGAAGCAAAACAAAGCCATCAATGTGGTGGGTAAGTTATTCACTTGGTGATTATTCTCATTCGTTTCTACTCGCCCGAAATCTTACACTCCCCACCACCCCGTATAGGTTAAAGTTATTCAATAGTTCTTACCCAAGGGGAACTGATTGTTTTTCTTCAATTTTTCCGTTCAGGATTTCCACTGCTTTGTATAAGTGATGTTGTTGGTAGGGGAAATTTGTAACGGTATAATCACCTCCGCCCACGAGACTGCACCACAAAAGATTTTTGACTATTCATTTCGCTTTATTTATATTCTTTTAATGTTATTAGTAGCTACCAAATAATCTTTTATAAAAATCGAAGAATAATTGTTTGTTTGGCACACGTTAATAGTAAAGATTATCATCTTTAGTACTAGCACCTTTAGTATTAACACCTTTAGTATGTTAATACTAAAGGTGTTAATACTAAATACGTTAATACTAAAGATGTAAATAACTGAAGATGTTAATACTAAAGATGTTAATACTAAACGTGTTAATACTGAAGGTGTTAATACTGAAGGTGTTAATACTGAAGGTGTTAATACTAAAGGTGTTAATACTAAAGATGTTAATACTAAAGGTGTTAATACTAAAGATGTTAATACTAAAGGTGTAATTCGAACCAGATGCAATGGAATTTCAGCAAAATAATGCTGGATATGTTTGAAATATATATATATATATATTTAATAACAATTTGGGTGATACAGTGTGCCTTCCAGCTCTTAAGGAAGCAATTTTCATGCATGATAAAATAGCAAGATCTTTCTGATTGTTTTTAGGTTTGGCATTCAGCTACCCTTTAGGTGTGAGTGCTTCATTTTACTTTTAACATACTGGAGGTGATTTTGCTTGCAAAGGAATAATTTTATTCTGCCACTACAAGTGACTCAGATGAATGAGTAATAGAGTGTTTGAATTTTGCAGTTGTGTTGCCATATCCTGCTATGGCAACAGAAAATGAGCATGACTGAAATTAAGTAGTGCAGCCTTGAAAAAACAATGAGGTGAAAAGGAAAGTAGTGAATAATGCAGAGTGTTAATGGTTGATGGTCAGTATACTGAAATTTTAGATTATTGATATTGGATTCGTTTCACACTGGGTGCCTCATACTTTTTCTTTGTTTAGCGGCATATCAACTTTTTATGAGTCATTTAATTCCGAAATTTAATTTTAGGAGCATTAGTAATTTCTTTTACAAAAATGTATTGCTGAAAATTTATTACTGGTATTTTTAATATAAAAATGTATTTTTATACTTTCATAGTGCATCGCCTCAGTTTGGAGGTTAACTATTTGCTCATAACCAGGACCCTAACAGATGCTATCATCCGGGTCAATGTGGACCTGGGAACATCAGCAATTAAGAGGTAATTCTATGCACCCAAAAACCTCCGGATCGGCTGTAGTTTATCGTCTTATCTAGAACGCCATACTTTTGACTGTTAAAACTAAGCTATGCTTAGTAAATAAATATACTTTGAGTGCTAAAGACTGTATAATATGAATCAATCACTTCACTATGTATAACTGTTTTATATCTATCATATCACTAAGAGTTCATTTCATTTGACTGATATTTTAGAGAAATCAATGGCAATTGCCGCGAGATGAAGGAAATTTAGAAACCGTTACATATAAATTCAGATCCTTGACTTTTGTCAGTTTGCCAATGGGCTGCGTCCTAGCGACTCATGTTCAGTTATTCAGTCAGGCGTGACGATTAAGAATATGATTAATCTTCCGCATGGATGTTAGAATAATGAGTTTTTTTTTTGTGTACTATTAAAAAGAACGTTTTTGTACAAACCCGTAAGAGGAATTGCATGATAAAAAAAGAAAAAAGAATGATTTTGCTGACGTTTGTGGTTGTAAAGGGAAACATTTGATAATAAATGAATAAATAAATAAAAAATGATTTTACTGAAGTTTGTCAGAGGAATCATTTGATAAGAAAGAAAGATTTTCCTGAAGTTTGAAGGAGGCATCATTTGATAAGAAAGAAATAATTTGCTGAAATTTGAAGGGGGAATTATTTGAAAAGAAAGAAAGAAAGAAAGAAAGAAAGAAAGAAAGAAAGAAAAAATGAATTTGCCGATGTTTGTCGGAGGAATCATTTAAAAAAGAAATAAGAAAGAAAGATTTTGTAGATCTTTGTTAGAGGAAGTTTTTACCAAACTCCAAAGTGGAGAAGATTTTGTGGAATTATTTGACAAGTGAAAAAGAAAGAAAAAAAAGAAGGTAAGAAAGAAAGATGAGAAATTCTTTGGCTAACTAGAAAATTGTATGAAAAGTTGACCGTATTCTAAAACGTGCCAGATAGGCGAATATGTGACTTAAAGAGACAGACGGATTCCTTCAGACATACTGATTACTTAAGGGCAACAAAGAAGAACTGATTGCTCGGGCGCTGAGCTCTGAACTGTTGCCGTTGATGTAATAAGTGTAAGTGCTTCAATTTCTCACCAGACGCAAGATCAAATGTTTGCCAGTGAGCCATAGACTCTCACGATCAGAGCAGGGATTCGTTTTGGGGTTTTGTTCAGTATTAATGTAAAAGATGTCATTTCTAAAGGACGCTTTATTTGTATTTTTTTTTTTTCGCAGGAGGTTGAATATGGTCACCACTCAAGATTCCCTAAGATTAAAATAGAAAAAAATAAAGAGTTTCATTATTATCATTATAATAAATCGCTTTAGCGATGTAGGGGGTCCATCTTCTGAATGTATCATTCTTATTGCACTTAATA